GTGATTATGGTTATAATTGTAGATCTAGATAACCACTGGAGGGCAGCCTTAAAAACAAGCATTTGCAGAACGAGAGAGGTCATGAAGATAAATTTGTTTTTACTTCATGCGTTTCAATCAGTACACCGCTGACATCTTCAAAATGAAAATCTCTCAAATACCTATTTGCTTTACCTGTCATAGGTGAAATGGCTGCATTGGTAAAGGAATTCCCTGTAAAAAGATTTCAAGTGATTAGGCAAGGTTTAGGAGACTTTCATTTATACTGAATGTGGTGTGGCAAGACACATTTTTTAAATGCACTTGATAAATATTTCTTCTGCTATTATTGACGTTTTTGAGAATGCCACGTCAGTTGCGTGCTGTTTTACAAAATAATTTTATGTGATAAATTCTCTCTCTTTCCAGAGCTTTGCATGCAGTTTAAAGGAGATGCTAATGGCAAATGAACAGAAGGTAGAATCTGTAGAATTGATGCCTCAGTTGTACTTGGGGTGTCAAATTAAAGGGAAGTACATGATTTCAGATCCAACATTCAACAGCTTCACATTTCCCACAGGTCTGTAACATTAGTTTTTAAGTTGTCTACGGATTAGCACACATGTGAATTCATTGTACAGAAACAAGCTCTTTACATATCCTATTAATCTATTTCAACAACAGTTTTCTAATGTTCTGTATAGTTACAAAGAGCCCACTTTCTGTACCTGTTGTGTTTGCTGCAGATGATGTCCCAGTAAGTGCTGTGCTGTTCTCTGTAAGAGAAGCATATAACTTCAGTTCAGACAATCAACAGGCAAACCCTGCCTGCAGCATTTATGTGTGAATTGTCCTCAGGTTAGGACACAGCTAAAATAATTTTAATAATACAAGTTACTTAAAGACCATTGTGCGGAATGTTCAATTTTTCTTGAGTTTAATTGAAACAATTACTCCCTTCAACAATGCATTTAACAGGGTGTCAGTACTGATTTGAAACAACATCTATTCCCAGTACAATTATGGATAATTTACGTGGTTATGCTCATGTTCATAGGTCTAGAGCAAACTGTCGCCACTCGAAAGAAGTTTGCATTAATAGGAAGGAGAAAATATACATTCAACAATGTGGAAAATTTTATCCATTGGTGTCTAGTTGTCATTTTCAAATTTGAAATGTCACAAACAACAGTTTACAATTATCTGTCACAGATGATGTGATAATAGTGCAAAAGATGTTCCCTGCAAATAAAAAGATTATAAGCAGTGAGGCCAAATATGAAAGATTTCGTCTTGACAATCTCTGGAACTCATCTGCTGCAGTGGCCTTTTATTGAATTGACATGAAGGCAGAAAACTGGTAGAATATATAACCAGTTCCAATTTGATTCTGGAAAATCTCCACCTTTACTGATTTTGCAAAACTGACGTGTATTGATAACAGCCTGGGCCCATAATTTGTGCCACTATCAATGTCATAGACTTTAGTTATGAAGTTACACCAAGCGTTGATTGTTGTATGAAATTAGAGATGATATGTTCTGCCATTAGTCTCCTACTCTACAAGAAGTGTCAGTACACAAGGTGGCACTTTCACAATTCACGGGACCAAGATTGGTTTCACTGGACCTTTATTCCAGTAGTCTCAGTGGTTTTGAAATTAGCACATATGCATTATGATGATGTTTGGGGACAATATGTTTCCAATGAAAGAGATGGAAACTATATTGCTTTAATCTCAAGAAAAGCATTTATTGGCTGTTTACATTATTTACAAGTTAAATTATTGCATTGACTTAATCAGAACATTCCCCTCTCGCGTTCCACCTACATGTGATCTAACATTACTTGACGTTATTGATGATACAGAGTAACAATGAGCAGAGTAGGTATTATAACCTTTAATTACACACTCTTAAATCTTTCAAACAGCTATTCACATTTTAAACTAACCCTACTTGTACTCCCCAGAGTCTCTTGTGCCTTGAAGTTGAATGGAAGTCTGTTGGAGACAATTATGCTCCAACTATGATATGGACTTTGAAAGAAAAGACACTCTTCCTCTTTTGTCAAATTCAAAATCTGAGTTCCTGCCAAGAACCAGAATGTCTGCAACCACATATCTTCTTTGAGTGCAACGACTTTTCTCAAGAAGGATACATTTCATTCTTTAGTATCATTGACTTCGCAGATATGTGCAAATTTCGATAGTCAGGGTTTAGATATGTGCCCTGTAGATGGTAGATCCCTCCTGCTGTAACAAATCATCCTCAACTGGCCCCTATAATGGCATACATGACACTCAGCATTCACAAAAGGGAATTGTCATGTCAGTGAGGCTTGTTTTCCACCTCGACATAATCACATAGAAATGACAATGGCTGAACCATCTACTCACTTGTTCTAATTCGTTGCCAACGACCTTTACTTCTACAATTGGGCCATGTGAAATTTGCTGGGCTGGTAAATTGTTCTGTTTGGCTTGCCTGTTAATGACACTGCTTTGGCCAATGAATGATCCTCTGCAGAAGGCAAGTATTGTTTAAATATCTGATCCTGAAAGCCCACATGGACATGGTCTCCTATGAGCTCATCACTTCATTTCCTCCATTTAGAGTGAACTTGGACAGCTCATTTACAAAGCAATTAATATTCTCCTTGTTAATAAAGATAAAATACTGAAGAGAATGCAAAACTTCAATAAAAGCCGACAGTGCTGGAGAAAGTCAACAAACCTGGCTGAAAGTGTTGGGTCATTAAATATATTCAAGGCTGAAACAGATTTTTTTATAATCTGTAAGAGAAGCAAGTGTTGGGGAAGTGGTAGGAAAGTATGGGCCATGACCAGTCTTGAAGAATCAAATGACTTACTTCTGTTCCTATGTCTGATGGTCTTCTAAATACCTACCAAATATTCACACAATTTACTGCTCAGTCTGTTCCACTGGCTGGAAGACGCATTGTTTCAAATCATTTAGCTGATTGTTTCATTACTGAAAAGATATAGTTTTGCTTTTCTGACTGTCCAATATAATTGAACACTCTTTCAAAAAACCTGTACAGATTCAAAGGACAGGGCAGCCTCTTTCTGTCCTGCCTGAATTGATAATAAATCACAAATTGAGCTTCCAGCGGTTCTGATCAGCTCAAATTTCAACAATGTTTTCTTACATTCTCAGTCATTAAAAAGAGTTCATTTTCAGTACCTGTTCTGTCCCATGGAAGTGATGGCCTATTAACTGTTGTGCTGTTCTCTGTAAAGGGAAATACATGATTTCACATCAAACAATTAACAGCCAAACCCTGCCTGCTGTATTCATCTGTAAATTGTCCTCAGGTTAGGACATGGCTAAATTATATTAATAAAATAATGTCCTAAGGACCCTTTTGTAGATGTTCATTTTTTCCCCGCGTTTAATCAATTCAACTATTCCCTTTAACAATGCATTGAACAAAATTTGTCTGTGCTGATCGGAAGCAACATCTATTCCCAATACAAGTGATAGATAGTTGTTGAGATTATGGTTGTAATTGTACATCTACAGGACACTATAACCACTGGAGAGCAAACTTAAAGACAAGTATTTTAAGTACCAGAAAGGTGATGAAGATAAATTATTCTTGCTCAGAAAGTTGTCATAGCCTAGATTGAAAACACAACCATTTTCCTGCATTTCAATCAACATACAGCTGTCATTTTCAAAATCAAAATTTCTCAAACACCTATTTGCATTATCTGTCATAGGTGACATGGCTGCATTGGTAAAGGAATTCCCTGTAAAAAGATTCCAAGTGATGTGTAGGATGTAAGGGATTTTCATTTACACTGACTGTGGTGTGGCAAGTCATGCTTTTTAAAAGCACTTGATTAGTATTTCTTCCGCTATTATTGATATTTTCTGAGTGTGCCACATCAGTAACATGCCATTTTAAAAGATACTTTTATGTGATATATTCTTTTTCTTTCCAGAGCTTAACGTTCAGCTGAAAGATGCTAATAGCAAATGAACAGAAGACAGAATTTGTAGAATTGATGCCCCAGTTGTACGTGTGGTGTTCAATAAAAGGGGAGTACATGATTTCAGACCCAACATTGAAAAACTTCCCATTTCCCACAGGTCTGCGACACCAGTTTTTAAAGTTGTCCACAGATTAACACACATATAAATTCATTATACAGAAACAAGCTCTTTATATATCCTATTAATCTATTTCAACAACAGTTTTCTAGTGTTCTGAATAGTTACAAAGAGCCCATTTTCTGTACCTGTTGCGTTTGCTGGAGATGATGTCCCAGTAAGTGCCGTGCTGTTCTCTGTAAGAGAAGCATATAACTTCAGTTCAGACAATCAACAGGCAAACCCTGCCTGCAGCATTTATGTGTGAATTGTCCTCAGGTTAGGACATGGATAAATTATATTAATAAATAACGTCCTTAAGGACCCTTTTGTAGAATGTTCACTTTTTCCTGAGTTTAATCGATTCAACTATTCCCTTTAACAATGCATTTAACAAAATTTGTCTCTGCTGATCAGAAGCAACACCTATTCCCAACACAAGTGATAGACAGTTTTTGAGATTATGGTCGCAATTCTAGATGTACGGGACACTATAACCATTGGAGAGCAAACTTAAAGACAAGTATTTTAAGTACGAGAAAGGTGATGAGCATAAATTATTCTTGCTCAGAAAGTTGTCATAGCCTAGATTGCAAAGACATCCAATTTCATACATTTCAATCAACATACAGCTGTCATTTTCAAAACAAAAATTTCTCAAACACCTATTTGCCTTACCTGTCAAAGCTGAAATGGCTGCATTGGTAAAGGAATTCCCTGTGGAAAGATTACAAGTAGTTAGGCAGAATGTAGGAATTTTTCATTTGTACTGATGGTGGTGGGGCAAGACATGCTTTTTAAAGGCACTTGATCAATGTTTTATTGATGTTTTCTGAATATGCCACATCAGTTGCATACTGTTTTACAAGGTAATTTTATGTGACAAATTCTCTATCTCTCCAAAACTTTATGAGCAGCTCAAAGGAGATGCTAATGGGAAATGAAATGAGGGTAGAATCTGTAGAATTGATGCTCCAGTAGTGCATGTGGTTTTGACGAGAAGGGAAGTATAGGATTTCAGATCCAACATTCAATAGATTCACATTTTCTACGGGTCTGTAAACAATACTTTATAAATTGTACACAGATTAGCACACATTTAAATTCATTTTACAGGAACAAGCTCTTTATGTATCATATTAATCTATTTCAACAGCAGTTTTCTAATGTTGTGAATAGTTACAAGGAAGCTATTTTCTATACCTGTTGTGTTTGATGGAGATGATGTCCCAGTAAGTGTTACGTGGTCCGCTGTAATAGAAGGACTTGATTTCAGTTCAGACAATCAACAGCCAAACCCTGCATGCATCATTCATAAGTGAATTGTCCTCAGGTAAGGACAAAGCCAAAATTATTTTAATAAAGCAAGCTCCTGAAGGACTATTTTGTAGAATGTTCAATTTTTCTTGAGTTTAATAGATATAACTATTCCCTTTGACAATGCTTTTAACATAATTTGTCTGTGATGATTTGAAGCAACATCTCATCCCAATACAAATTTATAGACATTTTAGGTGGTTTTAGTCATGTTCATGGGTCTAGAGCAAACTGTAGCCACTGGAAAGAAATTTGCTTTGATAGGAAGGAGAAAATATACATTCAACAATGTGGAACATTTTATCTATTGGTGTCCGCTTGTCATTTTCAAATTTTAAACGTCCCAAACAATAGTTTACAGTTATCTGTCACAGATGATGTGGTAATATTGCAACAAGCATTCCCTGCAAATAAAAAGATTATAAGCAGTTAGGCAAAATATGGAAGATTTTGCCTTGACAATCTGTGGAACTCATCTGGTGCAGTGGCCTTTTATCGAATCGATATGTAGGCAGAAACCAGGAAGAACATACAATCAGTTTCAATTTGGGTCTGAAAACTCTCCACCTCTACTGATGTTGCAAAACTAACCTCTGTTGGTAACAGCCTGCGCCTATAATTTGTGCCACCATCAATGTCATAGGTATTAGTTACTATGTTATGCCAAGCTTTACCGTAAGGATTTGATTGTTCTAAGAAATTATGGACAATATATTTTTCAATTAGAGACAGTAGGAACTGTACGAAACTGGAGAATCTGAGATAACAAGGTGTGGAGCTGGAGGTACACAGCAGGCCAAGCAGCATCAGAGGAGCAGGAAAGCTGACGTTTCGGGACTGGACCCTTCTTCAGAATATTTTGCAATTAGATGTCTACTCTATAAGAAGTAAAAATACACAACATGACACTTTCACAATTCAGGGAAGCAAGACTGGCTTCACTGGACCTTTATTCCAGTCGTCTAGCAGGTTTTGAAACTAGCACTTATGCATTACAATGATGTCTGGGGACTAGATACCAAAGTGTGGAGCTGGAGGTACACAGCAGGCCAAGCAGCAGCAGAGGAGCGGGAAAGTTGACATTTTGGGTCGGGACCCTTCTTCAGAAATTTGTTTGGTGACTATGTGTTTCTAATGAAAGAGCTGGAAACCGTGCTGCTTTCATCTAAACAAAAGCATTTTTTGGCTGTTTATGTTATTTACAAGTTAAAGTGTTGCATTGAATTTATCAGAACATGATATGATCTTCGACAGGAAAGACACTCCTCCATTGTCAAATTCAAAATCTAAGTTCCTGCAATGAACCAGAGTATCTGTACACCAGATATCTTATAGGCGGTTAACAATTTCTCCCATTAGTATCAGCAACCTCACAGACACGTGCAGATTGGGATGGTCACATGTTAGATACGTGTCCCATGGATGGCAGTCTCCTCCTGCTGTAACAAATCATCCTCGAGTGGCCCCTCTTCTGGCACACATCACCCTCAGCATTCACAATGGGACAGATGTCATGGCAGCGAGGCTTCTTTCTCATCTCAGCTTGAACATAGAGTAACAGCGACGGCTGTGTCGTCTTCTCGCTCCTTTTGATTTGTTGCCAAAAGCCGTCAATTCTCCAAATTGGACCATGTGAAATTTGCATGACTGATGAATTGTTCTGTTTGGCTTGCAAAGTTCAACCGGCCAGCTAACGTCACAGCTCTGGCCAATGAATGATACTCTGCAGAAGGCAAGTATTGTGAAAATGTTTGATTCTGCAACCCCACATGGACATGTTCTCTTATGGGCTCAACGCTTAGTTTCCCGTATTTACAGTTATCTGTGAGGTCGTACGGGTCATTTATAAGGCAATCAACATTCCCTTTGTTAATAAATATTAAATACTGCACATAATGGAAATCTGAAATAAAACAGACAGTGCTGGAGAAACTCAGCAGACCTGGAGGTCGGGGTTGCGTCATTAAATATATTCAACGTTGAAACGAACAGATTTTATTTTAATCTGTGAGGGAATCAAGTGTTGGGGAAATGGTAGAAAATTGGAGTTGTGACTATTAGGCAGGCCAAGAACAGAATTAAGAACCAAATGGCCTACATCAGTTCGAATGTCTGATGATTGTCTAGACACTGACCAACTATACATTCACAATTACGCTTAGTTCCTCCACTGGCTGTAAAATGCATCGTTAGCTGATTGTTTCACTATTGAAAAGATTTTTTTTATTTTTCTTGGTTTTGAGTATAACTGAACACTCTTTCAAAAAACCTGAACAAGCACAAAGAACTGAACAGCCTTCTATTGTCCTCC